TATTTTGTTCTGAGTTGCGGGCTCACTGAGTTACCCAGACTGGGCTCAGACTTGAAATCCTCCTACCTCAGCCTGCCAGAGTACTGTGATTAGTGCACCACCGCCCGCAGCTTCTAAACCTTTCACATGCTTATTAGGATATATGAGACAGGTATAATCACCATTCCCATTTCACAGAAGAGAAAAATTTAAGGCACAAGTAGTTTTTAAAACTTTTGTAAGATTATACAACTAATTAGTGGTGATGTCAGGCTTTGAACCTGGGCAGTTCAGCTTTCAACTCCAGGCTCTTGGTCATTATATTCTCTAGCTTCTGGATGGATCAAAGCTTATCATAAATTGTAGCTGGGTTAGTGGTATTTTTTTCTTTTCACTGAAATAGAGGGGTTGCGTGGGTTCAGCTGTGCTGGCTATGGCAGATACCCGACAGGGCAACAGCCTGCCTTTGTATAATGGTGGGTCCAAAGTTCAGAGAACAGGCAACATTTTTGCAAGAAGCTCATTAGTGGGCCTCTTTGTATGGAACTTGCTACCTTAGTATGTTTCTCTGAGGAGTTTGAAGTGTAAGTGTTCATAGATTCCTTGGCAACATGTTGAATCATAGCCTTCATACTTTAAAAGCAGGTTTTCAGCTGCGGGTAGTGGCACACATCTGTAATTCTAGCTCTCTGGCAGGATGAGGGGGAACTGCAAGTTCAAGTCCTGCCTAGGCAGCTTAGTGACTTGGTGAGACCCTGCTTCAATATAAATAAAAAGGGCCAAGGTGTTACGGCTTGTGTCTAGATGTCCCCTCAAAGCCTCTTGCAGTCACAGTGAGGCTTGTCAGAGATGGCTGGGTCTGGAGTGTGTGATGCTGTGAGTGAGTCATGGCCCATGCTAGGATTAAGGCTGTCTTGCCCTGGATTTGAGATAAAACATAAGGGACAGGAAGAGAGCTGCTGTTGTCGCTGCTTGGTTGCTTGCTGCTTCTTTGCAGCTTAGCAGCTTTGCTGCCTTCTGCCTGCCATGGACCTTTTCTCCGCTGTGATCCTACTCTGCCATGTGCCACCTTGGTACCAGCCAGCTATGAATTGAGACCTCTACAAACTGCGAGGCAAATAAACCTTTCTTCAACTTTCAGTGTTGGAGATTTTGTTCAGGGACAAGAAAGTGAACTAAGACACAGAGCTATAGCTTAGTGTGAAGACCCTGACTTCAGTCCTCAGTACCACAGCCCACCCCATACCCCCCAAAAGTGAAGGAGGAGTTTGTTCCCCTTGGTGCTTGTTCTTGACCTCACACAGCCTTCTCAGCCAGGCAGCTGCTCTGTAGAGCTGAGGCACAGGAACCTGTTCATTAGCCTGGCTGAATTTAAGCTCTGACAGGCAGGTGATGAAAACATGGGACTGCTTCTCTGTTTTGCACTGCAGTTTGACTTGTCTCTTTCAAACAGCCTGTCCCTTGATTCCTTACCTTTGCCATACCAGTAAAAGTCTGGAAGCTGACTCAGCTGGAACTCTTGGCAGAGGAGACAGGAGAACATTTTTTGACACTCAGTATATGCAAGGCCCTGACTAAATGCTTCATGTCTCTTTCCCAGTATCCCTGTGAGTTAGATTTGTGATCCTTTGTTTACAAGAAATAAAGAAGCTGAGGCATAGAGAGCTGGTGAATTACCCACGCTCACAGGGCTAGTAAGTGATAGAACTAAAAGAACCCAGCCATAGAAAAGGCTGTTCTTTGTGCTCTGCAGGCTCTCACCTATATTAGCTGCCAGTTGATTTGAGTCTCGGTCCCCATGGCTCTGATATTCCCTGCAGGTGAATGACCACAATGCAGGCTCTGATGGCCAAAGCAGGGTGTTCCTCAGAGAAGACCTGCAGGAGTTTCTGGGCAAGGAGGCCCTGCTGCACCAGCTGGATGACCTGATCAAGGTGAATCCTGTGACACTGGAGACAGGTAAGGACATCCCTCTTCTCTGGAAGGCTATCTCCAAGAGGGTGGCAGTGCAACAGGGTGTCAGCATGGCTTCCCCAGAGCAGACCATGGCGGGTGAGACTCCTGACCTAAGGCCACATGCATGCTCTAGACCTAAGCCCAAAGGAGCCCAGCAGTTGTACTTTGACTCCCCAGGGTAGGCTTTGCTCTGGATTTGGGACTCATCTTAATTAGATCTTATATCTACTCATCAGGGAACTGCTGGGATCTAGTGGCACTTGGCTAATTATAGAGTGAGGGCTGTTGAGTGGATGTGTGTCTGTGTGCATGGTTTTATCTGTATTTGAACCAGACTTTGTTAAATGCATCTGGGCCTCAGTTCTTAGGTGCCTGCAGGCCCGGTACAGGGCGGACATATTCTATACCAATGCTGGCTGCACCTTGGTAGCTCTGAACCCCTTTAAGCCAGTACCTCAGTTCTACACACTGGAGCTGATGAGAGAGTATCATGCCGCACCTCAACCACAGGTAAGGCTCAGCTGTTTCCTCTGCCTCTCAGCTACCTGGGCTGTCCCAAACCCCCACTGCCATCCTTCCCCATCTATTCAGCAGTCATTCAAACCCTGCTGGTATCCTTGCCCCTCCAAACAGGACCTCTCAAAAATTTGGACACAAAGAAATAAATGATTATAGGCCTGTCATGGTAGTGCAAGCCTATAATCCCATCCCTCAGGAGTCTGAGGCACTGTTTTTGAGGCCAGCTTGGGGTACATAGAAGGTATAAGGCCAGCCTGTGCTACATAGTGAGACCCTATATCAAAAAAAGAAAGAAAGAAAGAAGGATTGCAGCACAGAAGGTAGAGGGTAAGGGATGAATATTTATTTAACTAAATTTGCAACCTAAGATAGGCATAAAGCAAAGGATTTTTTTCTTAATTATGGATTTATTAGGAGAGGATTTACAAAGATATTTGTATACCTAAGAGACTACCTTTTCAGAAAAGAGTAAAATTACATGCAAAAGGGATTGCCTTAGAAAACTCAGCCTGTGTTCCTCTCTATGGAGAGGAATAAATTATTCTTGTAATGAGAAGAGAATACATCATTTGGGGGTGAGGGGTAGGTAATGATGGTGCGGGCAGGGAATGGGCTTGCTGTTAAAGTGCTGATGTGCTCAGGGCAAAACAAGAGCAAACTTGCTGGAGGAGGGAGGCTGCAGGAGAGAGGCAGCAAGTGAGGGTGGGAGAAAGAGAGCTGGCCACCTGGATAGGGTCTGAAGCATCACAGCAGACAGGGAATCCACAGCTGCTTCATGCAGGCAGAGGTGGAACTTTATTTATTTATTTATTTTATTTTATTTTTTGGTGGAACTGGGGATTGAACTCAGTCCCTTGTGCTTATCAGGGAAGCACTTATTCTACTGAACCATCTCCCCGGCCCCTCAGAAGTAGAACTGTAAACACAGCCCTCTGGCAAAGTGATTACTCTGGGAGTCAGTTCAGGAAGGTGAGGCAGGAGGAACTGTGGGAAGTTGTGTAGCAGTCCCAAGTGAGAGGTGTTCCAGGGAAGCACACATGAAAAGGGCGTCTCCAGTACCATCGTGGTGGATGGCAGTAAGTGATCATTGTTCGCTGGGCCAGCAAGGCATGGCGCAAATGACCTGATCCTCTCAAGTCCACACGTGGGGAAGTGTCCCATTGGGATCCAGAGAAGTATACTGGGGCTGGGGAGATAGCTCAGTAGAATAAGCGCTTGCCAGGCCTCTGTTCAATCCCCCGTTCTGGAAAAAAAAAAAAAAAAAAAAAAAAAAAAAAAAAAAAAACAGAAGTATACCGAGAGCCTCCTCCTGATCTGCTGTCTGCCCTGCCCCTCAAAGGCAAAAGCCAGATCATGGTCCCTTCTGTTTCTCCAGTGCCCAACCTGATACCCAACACACTAAGGGAAGTTAGTATCTGTTAAGGAAAACAGTGGCTTGCAATTCAAATTACATGGGTCAATTTACTTGCTAAACAGTGTTGGAAGGTTTTTAACTCCTCTGATTCTCACATATTGCATCTATACATAAGGCCAGCTAGCCAGCTAATGCACAGACTTCTTTTTTTTTTTTTTTTTTTTTTTCACAGACTTCTTAGTAACTTGTAAGAATGTTTTTGGAAGACTGTAAAATAACATGAAATAATTAGCAGGATAAGACTATTAAAGCAAGATAAGACAGGAGCATAGATTAATGTTATAGATTGCTCAAGGCTAACACTGCATCCAGGCTGGGAGAAGATGAGTGAGGCAGCTGTCAGGGTCCTTCCGTTGGCCCCAACACCATTACATCCAGGAGTTTTTTCTGGGAGAGAAGCTTCCCGGTCTCAGCTGTCATCGTATCAGCCCCCCTGTAGACAGACTCTCTCTTGTGTTACATTTCCTCCCTTGATGTTGCAGAAACTGAAGCCTCACATCTTCACCGTGGCTGAGCAGACCTACAGGAATGTCAAGAGCCTTATGGACCCAGTCAACCAGTCCATTGTGGTCAGTGGAGAGAGTGGTGCTGGAAAGGTAAGAGGGCCAGTTTCTTACCCCTTCAGCCCCTGGCTAGAGGGGCAGGGATCATTTCTCATGGTGTCACTTGCTGCCTAGTCATTTGCAGGACAGACTAGTGGGGGCAAGAAATCGGTGCTCCACAGCTGGGCAAGCCCTGAGCCAAAAGTCAAGAGATGGTTCCAGTGTAGGCTCTGCCACCAGCTCTGCTGCCACCTTAGGGGAGACCCCCACTCCCCACCAAGCCTTCACTTTCTCAGAGGTCTCAGCCAGCACTCACACCAGTGGAGCAAATATCAGTTGTTGGGGATTCAGCTAATGGTTAAGAGTACTTCCGAAAAGTACTTAGACTCTGTGACCCCAGTTGTCT